CCCCCCCCCCCACAAAAAATAAGCATTGCCACAGCTAGACAGCGACAGGAATCCTCTGCCATCCAAGGGTTAATGACCAAATTGTTTATTTTGGATATGTTGAGATTCAAAAGAAAAGACATTGACATGGTTTCAAAAAGAACCAAAAAACATGCTTGTTCCCTGCACAGAATATCAGACTCATTGATTATGAAAAGATGGTGGATGACACTGGCCAAAGAGTGGTTGCATTTGGTATGTATGCTGGTATGGCAGGGATGTTGAACATTTTGCATGGACTGGGACTGCGATTACTTGCTCTTGGACATCACACTCCTTTTATGGTGAGTAAAACTTCGAGCCTTCATTTGTAACCACTTTCAACATGAAAGATTTAATTCGAAAGAAGCCATTTTCCCCCTGGAACTCCAGCAGGTTTAAAAAAAATCAGAGGGAAATTGCTTGGTGATCATTGATGATTGAGCTAGAATACTTGTTTGCCCCTTAATGAAGGGACTTATACATTTTTATATCTGAATAATTTGTGTCCATCTTTGATGTAATCATGACAGGGTTTGTTAGGGAAACCATCAGCATGAGCTAATGGAATTTTTTTCATCAGTTGAATGAACTTTTGGAGACCAAAAGATGTGTGTAAAAATAATGAAGTAAATTTTTTGCGATTTCCTCTATAAATTATAAATTATTGTCATATATTTTCAGGAGTGTGATGATCAATCTTTGCAGATTAGAACTTGATTAAATTTGAAAACCCAGAGAGCCCAGCAGTTTTGAGTTCAAAATCACCTATTTTGTTCCCCCACAATTCTTCATTTTTTCCCTGTGCATGAAAAATGCTGCTGGTTTCCCTAACTCAAAGCATCCCTGAATAGTATACTGTATTTATTGGGTTCCTTCAAGTTCTTACTGTCACCTAAAGATTTATTCCAGGAGAAATATTTTCCTTTGGATATTTTTAGCACATTGGACCCGCGCATAGTTACAGAACCACGGATATTGCGAGGGCCGCTGTCCGAGACGCAGGCTACGAAATCTCCTTGGGACACTTGCCCAAGTCTTTGGGAGTATTGACTTTTACCTTCACCGGATCCGGGAATGTGTCCAAAGGTGCCCAGGATATGTTTCGGGAATTGCCCATTGAAATGGTCCCACCCGAGGTTTTGCCGAAAGTCTGCTCTCAAGGCCGTGAGTGACATTTTCCTCTTTTTTTATTTTTGGAAACCAAAAAGGAGTTTAAAATGTTTTTATTCAGAACACAATAAACTGTATGGTTGCCAAGTGAGTCGAAAGCATCACTACAAAAGGAATAAAGGAGGGCGTTTTGATTCTGCGGAATTTGCTGAGCACCCGGAGAGATACTATTCATCTTTCAGCAAAACCGTGAGTCACACTGTTTGACAAAAGTAATTTTCAGCGGCCTATTTGTAATTTGTTTAGTCATAAAAAACTGTGACTATGAATTTGTGCTTCAAGCATTCATGGGATTTTTGTTAATGCTTGCATGTCATTCAAAGTACAGTCAAACCCTGCTAAGACGCCCCCCCCCCCCCCAAAAAGCGCCACCCTTGGCAACTGCCAAATTTTGAATATGGGATTTTTTTTAATGCTTGCATGTCATTCAAAGTACAGTCAAACCCTGCTAAGACCCCCCCCCCCCCCCCCAAAAAGCGCCACCCTTGGCAACTGCCAAATTTTGAATGAAACAAATCTCCTCAATGTTAAATTCCATAGAAAACCTCAATAAGACGCCAATTGACACAAGCATTAAAGATGAAACAAAAGTGCTGTTTCCTATTAGTTTTCTCTTTGTTACAACACCAACATTGGGGTAGAATTATAATTTCTGTCAAGAATCTTCTATTTGTAAGAAGAAAAAAATAATGATCATTTTGTTTTAAAATGTAAACAATATATTGACCTAATCTTAAAATTTTAATAAATTGATGCAGCAAAATTAATTTTCTGAAAGAGTAATCTATTTATTGAAGCAATACTCTTTGGAAAATTACTGGAGTTTCTATAGAAAACCTATACAGTGAAACCCCTGCATGTGGACGCCTTGACCTGTGGACAATTTGGCATAGGGAGACTTATTTTCCCAGAAAAAAATCAATAAATAAGGCCCAACATGAGGACACTGACTCAACATAGGGACATTTTGTGATAAAATTGCAAATACATTTCAGGCCAAATTACAAGAGACAGACATTTCCAACCCTAACATTGATGACAGAAAAGTTCTTGGGCATTTCTCTCACCAAATTACAATCCATTTAGCTAATTAAAACAATTGACCTCCAGCATAGAGGGACTTCTACTTTTTTTCACTTGTTGTTATTTTTGTAGTGGCCATCATTTCAATGTACAGTACAGAGATGCACTATATTCGATGCCCCAATAATGTTCTTATCCAGTTGAAAATGTATTCACTAATTCAAATTCAAGTGGCAAACAATTTTAATTCAGGGAATTCTTAAGAATATTCCTTCCATAAAACACCAATTAAAAATTATATAATGTAAGTCTATGGGAAAACAAGACTAGACTCAGGTACAATTAAACTTAGGGACACTCTTGATGCCTTAATTATGCCCACATCTTGGGGTCTCACTGTATCTCTATAACTTTTTGGAGGAAAATCAAGCATTTTTCATCAAGTAATTTTAAATGAAATACAGCATTTGATGAACCGCCAACCCCTTTAAACAGCCAAAATTGCTCTGGACAAATGGTGGCGTCTTTTATGAGGGTTTGACTGTAGATGTGTTTGATTCTTGCCAAAGGAAAACTCATTGAGTTTGCCCCTGCTGTTTTTCTGGTTGTTCACTGCTTTATTATTGTAGGGCTTTTTTGTGTGTGGATAAATTAATCGTTTGCTTTGTTGTGGTTCCGTAACAATCGTTATTGCAAGAGTCCAACCTGTCTTGGTGGTACCATTATGATACCACTGCTGATGATTGTCCATGTATGATTTACTCCAGATTGCCCCTTACACGTCTGTGCTGGTCAACGGGGTTTACTGGTCGCAGGAATTCCCGCGCCTCATAACCCTCCCGGACGCCAAGCACCTCTGCGAACCCGTCGTGGCGCCCTGGCTGGCACCATGCCCCGGGGCGCCGACGTTACCCCACCGCCTGGTCGCCGTCTGCGACATCTCCGCGGATCTCGATGGCTCCATCGAGTTCACCGTGGATTGCACCACTATTGACAACCCGTTTTGGATCTACGACCCCGTTCATCACACGACCCATCAGAATGGGCTCATGGCCCCGGGTTTCCTCCTGTGTTCCATTGATAACATGCCGACGCAGTTGCCCAGAGAATCGACGCACTTTTTCGGCGAGCTCTTGTTGCCGCACATCTACAGCATTTTGCAGTCGGATGCCAAAAAGAGCATGGACGACACGCATCTCTCACCGGAAGTAACTTCTGTGTGTATACAGATTATTTGATTAATATATATACAGTTGAACCCCTTCAATAAGTCAAATTTCAAGGAACCAGCAAAAAAAACAGCAAAAGAGGACTTGGGGAGGTTTTGAATTATAGAGGTTTGAGCTACAATATGAAGCCCTTTTTGTGTGGGGAGATATAGAAAAATTGCCCAAAATTGTAAATTGGTGATATTCTAATGGGGTGTAAATTGCTTCTTGGATGCTGAAATTTCAGACAGGGGGCTCATTTGCACGTGTAAGTCTTTCACTTCCTTTTAAAATGCATTGATTTGTGTTTTCATTGCTTTTTTATTTCTTGTGTCAAAAAAACAATTGCCAACAGGCCACAGAAAATTTTGACTTTTTGAGGTTTGAGGGGAAAAGCCTTCAATTTGAGGCAATTTATTGTTTCCAAGGGGATTCAGATGTGGATCTGAAAAAAATCCAACTTAGGGAGGTACAGGTGGTACCTCATAATTTTGATACTACATTAATTCATTGCTGGACTAGGGTTGAACTGCAAAGTGGTTGAATTGCGAAGCAATGTCAAATGCAATGTGTTCTACATTGTAATTGACACTCTTGCCCATCTGTATGGGTCCAATTGCAGGGCCTAGGTTGAATTGTGAATTGACCTCCCAGCAAATTTGACCATCAAATTGGAGGACAGTTGAATTTGGGGAAGGTCAAATTGTGAGGTACCACCTGTATTTAACTTAAGGAGGTTGGAGTTATCCAGGTTCAACTGTACAATAAGCTTTATTTGCTGCTTATGAGCAGTCATCATCACAAGGTCCAAAGAGAAAGTTTTATCTTGAGGGAAAACCCATATCATATCAAAAAGAAAAATAATTTGTTGTTTGGTTATTCAAAGAAAATGCATTACAGTACATACAATTGGATGCATGAACAATGATTTGCCATTTTTTTTAAAAGAAAAATATCACAGCATAAAGAAATTACTGAACAGTGAGCACAAATAGAAGCACAAGGTGTTCAGCCTGTTTGCTGATACTTTTTCATTGATTGAAGAATTGAGAGAGAATCTTTGAGGAGAAATCATATAAAGCTAACTGTATTTCCCATGGCCCTCTAAAATTTGGGAAAGTATACCTTTTCACCAATATGTTGTATTATGTTACAAGATATTTTTCAAAGTTTCAATAAATTGAAAATCAAATCATCAGACGCAAATTTTGGTACTTTCCTGTTATCTCAGTACCTACTTCCCTGTTATCTCTGTACCTACTTTCCTGTTATCTCTGTACCTGCTTTCCTGTTATCTCTGTACCTCATTCCTAGACCGCACTACCATCCAGACAAATGTTTAGGACAAGTTCATAATCACGACAACCTACCAGAAACTGTGAATTTTATTTTTCCGCATTCTGCTGAAACTGGTTTTAGGAGGTGGTTAGTTAAAGTTAGGTTAGGTCAGGTTATGTTAGTTACAAATATCTTTTAATTAACATAACCTGACCTAACCTAACTTTACCTAACTGCCTTTCAAAATCAGATTGTACTTTTTGCACCAAATGCAACAGTTATATAAAATAAGGCATGGAAACTGAGATAACAGGAAAGTACCATTTTGGTACTCTAGTGCTTGAAGTCATATGTTGAGAGATCCATGCGAGCTAAAAACTTTTTCAGCAAGCTCTTTTCTCAAATTTATGTAGAAGGAAATTAATGATCTTCACCATGGCTTTTTCTTATGCAAAAAGTTTGCTGTGTGCTCAAGCCTCATATACAAGGGATGTTAAATTTAATATCAATGAATGCGTATCAAATTTTGCGCGTGACGATTGGTCTCAGGTTTGCTTCTAGTATATTACGAGGGTTTTAACAAAAGTTCTTGGAATGAAAATGAAGATGGCGTCTAATTGAGCTGGAAAAAAATTATTCTTTAGGGCAACCATCTTCTTTGGCACAAAAGAAATCAGCCCAGTTTGACAATTTTTTTCAATTTTTTGCAACATTTACCCTGGCAGAGTTTTGCTATACACTCAACAGATGAGGCACCCTTCCTGCAGCTTTTTTTTTTGTGGCCCAGTTTCCCCCTCAGAATT